AATTAATAATGGCGCAATAAATCATTAATAATTATAGAAGTCCATTTAAATGGCTCAAAACTTCTAAAAATCATAACTAATTCATTCAAACTCCAAATTGAGCCATTCAACTTGCAAAATTCATCTAAAATTGAGTTCTAAATGTTTGTTTACTTTTTATGTACTGTTTTCTTGGTTTTTATTAGAGTTTTTCCTCGTTTTGCGTGCCAGCGAGTAGATTCCGTCGTTTCAGAAGTCCGTGGTCGCGAGGAAAAGGGTTCAGAAGGTTGTTGTGAAGAAGCAAGGCAAGTCACACATTCCCCTTGAGAATTTTGATCCTAATTTACAAATGTTTTATCGTTTGCAAATAAAGATGCATGTTTTGCTAATTACATGGGAATAGGGTTTACCTATCTGCTCGCTTGTGCCATGTTTACTTGATATCTGTCCTTTATCAACCTTGGGTAATAAATCGACTAGCTCATGTTACTTATGTGACCTAGCTAGAACTTTATGCTTAGCCATGCCCAATTACCACTAGCTCAGTTGATGGGATAATTACAGGATTAGACCTATTAGCATTATGACGAGCTGCGCGCTCGAGACATCCGGCCATGTTTCGTTGGCTGTAATTATCCAACTAAAATGCGACTGAATGGTGGGCTGTGGGTGCATGGTTTTGCTGGTCGCACCCATGACAATTAAGGACCGGTTCGCGGGAAACCCTAGAAGACATACAGCGATTGCCACAAGCGGGAATGGATAACTGCCTGACTTGAAGTATAGCTTTTCTCTGGCTGACGCATCCAAGCAAGGGTGAGCGTGATGGAATTCAGATGGGCCCTACAACAGCCTATGCGTCTTTCTGGTTCGCCTAGGCACGAGAAGGGACTACCCGCTGCCTGTGGGGAGTGGGGGTGAAACCTGAGGTGTGGTGTGCTTGATCAGAGGGGGTAATATGAAGGGTCTTGTCACAATCACTCGACATGGTGACGTGTCTGGCCAGGCACGGTGACATGCCGGTTGATTGTGTCTTGTGGGTTCAGTTGTGCACCTCTGGCCAGAGTAAAACTATTCGAATAGCCGTGCCCGCGGTTATGGGCGATCGACCAGATTCACCGTGATTAGTCTCACACTTAATAAATCTACCCAATGCACAGTAGTTCAGGTGGGTTGGTTGGGCCTGTTCAACATGGTGTAGCATTGATCGGTGGAGATTTAATGCTACCTTAATTAACCAATAGTTTTACCGATTTGCTCAATAAAATGTTTTACAATCGCCTTTACGCAAATAGCCACAAACCATTCTTGAATCCCCTTGCACGTCTGCATCGTTGGTGTGGCTTGCTGTGTACGGTGGTTGTACTCAGCCTTGCTATTGTTCCCCCTTTTTAGAAGTGTAGTGCTTTTGAGCTGAAGACGAAGTTAGAGGACCAAGGCTTAGACCCCAGTTGAGTTTTGCCTGTGGAGTGGAGCTGAAGTCCCGCTAGGATCGCCTTTTTCCGCTACTGCTGCTGCTTTCGTTTCGGTGTGAGGACTAAGTGCCTCTTCTGTAAGTATTTATGTTTTATTTACGTTTGGAACTGTTTATCACTTGTCGTTTTGTGTACCCTGGCTGATTCCTGGACAGGGATTTAATACACAAAATAGTCTGAAAATTTGGGCTAAATTTCTGGGCGTGACAAGGTACTCCTCCGTATTTAGCCCCGGTTGTATGGTCATGACGGGCTGTCGTAAGGAACTCGGCAGTCAGGGGTGGCTTCTCGAAGTACCAGGAGGGCATCGGAAAGAGGGTATTAGCTAGTTAATCGTGTAACTAGGATGTATGTATACTATGTATATTTTATTTTCTTTCCGCTTAGCTTAGATATTTTAGTATGAGAATGAGTAGCTCCCTGCTTGTGTGTCACTCTACCCCTAATTTATCTTAACCCCTGCTTAGACTATGATTATTACAAGTAACAAATAAATTATTAGTACGATTCTCTCTACTATGATCTTCCCACGAGATTAAATAAATACGATACACTTGGAATAATCTCGGGTGAAATGCTACAATGGTATATCCGTGCGCTTGCGGATGAACTCTGTAACCATAATATACTAGGAGTATTTATGCGCCATTGCTGGAAATTATATTTCTAGTAATGTCGTTAAGAAATACCAACAACCACAAGCCAGCATGGGCAACGGCTTTACCTTATGTATAATGTGGTTCATTGTGGGGTACCAGACTGTGAACTGGCAGATATAAGCCCACAGAGGTCGCTGGGGAGTCTATACCTTTGGTTAAAAGGGGGTGACTTTGATCCGGGAACGGTGCATTGCTGTGAATTGTATTATGCGAAGGGTACTGTCACAGTCCCGTTTCGAGGTACCTGGTGGTACTGAGGGCATGATAACATGTTGTGGGGTTGTGTCTTGTGGGTACAGTGGTACATCTCTAGCCAGAGCAAAACTATTCGAATAGTCATGCCCGCGGTTATGGGCGGGTATAACAATGTTTTTCGTAATTAGTCTCACATTACTCATTAATAATAATAATAATAATGTGATAAATGATGGTTCTGGTTTAACTCCTGGTTTGGAATGGTTAATTCTTGGCTTGGAGGTTTGATCTGTATGACCGAGGTTAGTTGTTCATGTTTGGCTGGGCCTATGCAACGGGTAACGGGTATGTTGTATAGCGTTGGACTAATACTGATTAATTAATTACTCTACTGTTTTACAAATTCTCAACTCTTTGCCAAATGGTGGTTTCGCAAATGAATAATATATTATGCTATCCTTTAGTATCTTTGTGCACCTGCATATTTGTTGTGTGGTTTGTAGAGTATTCCATGTACTCACCTTGCAATAAACATCAAATCTCAGTTAGAAAAAAAGATCCAGAAGGAGAAGACCTTTAGCTTAGATCCTAGTACGTTGAGCTGCCTCTGCGAGTTGAGTTGAAGCTTCGCTAGATTTCTTTTCCGTTGCAGTTTTCTTCGTTGTGAGGACTAAGTGCCTCTTATGTAAGTATTTAATCGCCTTAGTTATTTTGATGAATCTTTATATTAAATTGTCAGTTTGTGTACCTTGACTGATTCCTGGACGAGGATTTGAATGCACAAATTAGTTTGGAAATTCCTTGTGAATTTCCGGACGTGACAACGGCGCACACGGGGAGCGGGAGCGGGAGTAACAGCTACAACCTGATGCTATCCAACAACATTGTAGATTGGAGACAAATTATTCTATATAATACTCTTTAGTTCAAAATAAATAGTAATAAAACCATAATATATTTTAAAGTATGTATAAAATTTCTAATCTTTTAGAAATATCAGCAAGTCAATATATATGTGTTCATTATGTTTTTAACTATCCAGCTTAAATAGGTTGATAGAGATGAATTAAATTATGCTTAATACTCTTCGTTTTCTTTACCGGGGAATATGTTTTACCAAGATGAAAGCAATATACAAGAAGTCACGATCCCTAACACCTAGATACTATAATCAACTAGTAATATGCCCGTACTAACGTTACGATGATGTTTCATAAGACAACAGTGACAAACAGAAAAGGCAATGTTTCATTAGGCAACGGTGACAAACAGAAATGAAATTCCTGCTGAGAATGAAAACAACTTTACGGTGTAAATGAAAATGATGCTGACCAATATCTAAAATAAGGTGTAGAGGCCGGGTTTAATATAAATCCATTATCTAAAATAAGTATACTTGTTCCTCACAACATATTGTTTACACACAAAACTTACTAACACATAAAACTCATTGCATGATCAGCTTCACTTGAGCTTTCAGAAAGGTTCTCTAAAAGATAATAGCAACATATACAACAGGAGTGGAGACCAAACATAATTTACAGGGTCATTCACATGTACAAGTGCAATAGACATGCTTTCTCCTTTTCTCGCCTCTAGAAGTAGGAATATTGATTCAAAAGAATGGTATGCTAATAGTTCACAATCCTACTCTCCCAAGTTACTCTAGGAATGTTGACTTTGAAGATCATATGATTTTCAAACAACATCATTTAAGGTGTTGGAGAGATTCTTGCAAAACTTACAGACATTAAAATTATGTGATTCAGTACAAGACATTTAATCAAAGGCTAAAAATTAAATGATAAATTATAAATAAGTGAAACCCAATTTACTAAGCTTGGAGCAGAATTAGGATGAAATCTTATCAGATTAATGACTCAAATTTTCCAATGAAAGCCCATGAACCTTAGGTCTTAGTTCACATGATCGCCACGTAAAATATCTACCTCGTGGAGCTCCAAGTTGCACCCTCTCTTCATTTGGTTGATAATAATGCACAATAACAGTTAGATTGAAGATTGAAAAAGCTTTTACACAAAGCAGATTGCAGTATAGCTTTTTTTTATATTGCCCCAGTAGCATTGGGATTTCCTTTTCTCCTTGTTTTTACCTTTTCCAGAAACTATTCAATCATCAACTAAAAAGTTCAACACGCAGGAAATATCTATTTCAATTTGCTATAAATTATGCCTAGAAGGCTAGAACCTATTTTTTTCAAGGGAAATTTATGCAAATAGTTGTTGGGCAAGGGGAGCAGACCTTGTAAATTTTTCTGGACATGGAATACAACAGTTAATCTACATGAGAAGCTGAGAGAGTAAAAAAATCTGAAGGCTAATAAAAATCTGAATTTATGCACCATACAAACAGTGGATATATATATAATACTATTATGAACTGTAAGTCTGCAGTATATAAGAACATTTGTAAGAGGTGACTCTGACACCATAGAGATAAAAAGGAAGTGTGATCCAGTATGCATTATCATTAACTGATGCATTAACTCATACCAGGAAAAGCTTATGTAAAGAGAATGCATTTTCCTATAAGTCAGTACTACACTCATCAGTTACTATGAAACTATGATTTCCATGTTGGCTTGCAAACACAATAAAGCAAAATATGTGTGTTCATACTTTCAAATGCAGTGTATGCTTCTCTTGATCAATCAGAATTTAACTAAGCATTCTTGTTCAATCAAAATATGTGTGTTCATACTGTCAAATATGTGTGTATCATTCTTATGGAGAAGCATTTCATACACTAATTTGTCAAATAACTAGTGAACTGAAACTCAATCAACAGCTTCAAAGGTATGCTCCCATCACCATATCCAAATATCGCAAGCACTCTTCTATTGATTAGAAGACAACACATCCTGCTACTTCAAATGCAAATATGGAATATCAAGGAAGCAACAATGTGAAATTCCATGATTAATGCTATCATACTTAAATTGAAGTCATCTGTATGAAGGTTCGTCCATTTTACTGTTCTGGTCCATGAAAGATTGTAAGTGAGAAAGCACCTGGAAAGACAAAAAAAACAAATCATGGGAACTCTTAGTTCAAAAAATGCATAGCTGTACCTTCTTAATAGGACTTTTTGCGGGTTTCTTAATGAGACAGTTATATTTATTCACAAAGAAGGATTCTGGAAAAAAAAAAGGTTGGTTCATGAGTTATTTGACCATTGGTTGCTTAGACAAGTTACATACAATGTTATTCTTATCCAATTACTGGAGCCAAGACACAATTTTATTCAGTAATCGCTACCATTTCACATGTATACAGTCTAAATCTATATGTGATCTTAAGAAAACAATATTGGTCCCGAATATATAAATGCATGAATGATCCAAATATACCTACTCTTTCGAGGGACAATAACAATGTACATTTCAGTGTTCTAAATATCAAACAGCCCAATGTTTATTAAAAACAAACTGTGCTATTTATCTAATTCCATTTTAGCACAGAAATATAAAGGTTTTTCCCCTTCAATTTGATTATGTAGCAATTTTATTGCACACAGTACTATGTGATCATTAAAGCGTAGGCATAAATACATGTTCTAAATATCAGACAGCCCAATGTTTATTAAAAACAACTGTGTCATTATCTAATTCCGTTTCAGCACAGAAATATAAAGATTTTTCCCCTTCAAATAAGGCAATTTTATTGCATACAGTACTATGTGATCATTAAAGCGTAGGCATATATATACATGAATATAGGAATACATAGTACAGATTTATGAATATACATAGTTAGATATGGCAGGGACCAATCAGCGATCGTCCGGTACACATGTAGAAAAATCACCCTTAGAAGAGTGAACATTTAACATCAATCAACCATGGAAAACATGAATTCATGTATTTTCATCCAAACTAAACAGCTATTTGGATGGAGTAAATCACTTATATATGTGAAAGAAGATAAGTGCCAAATGATAAAGAGATCGAATTCCCCCAGGACAGAAAAATATATTACTTTATTCATATGGCATGAAAAGAAAATAAGAAAATGTCTAAAAACTGGATCGATTTCCGATTTGTAAGATATCGAAACTATTTCTTGGACTGAAATAGGATGGTTTACTTCAGGAGACAGCCCCAATACTTTTGAGTCTTTCACCGTTTTGTAACATCATAGAATTCATTCTGTTGTTATACTATACTCCATCGTTTTGTGTCGACCTACTATATCTATCCTATAGCTAGCTAATGAGAATTAATTTTCAGAAGGTGTCAAATTAAAAGCCATCAAAATGATAAGCTGGCTTAATTTGCATTGGGATGCTTGTGTGCGAGGCAAACACATCTCTGCAGGCCATGGATAGCTAGTCAGTCGCATATATGCATCGGTCCTGGCATATATTGATGTACATATTGATGCACATATATAACTGCATGCAGATCGAATAATCGATGGAGAATTCGAGATGACAAGAATAAAAATCAAGGGTGCAAGAAACTGAATCATGTATCACTCATTAGATGTAATCACAAATTACTTGTTGAGAAATTATGTAGCCGTAGTAGAAATCCTTATACAAGTATCTTAAAGTGCAAGTAATCTGATCTTACCCTTTCTTTTGATTGACTTGTGAAGAATGAACAGCACCAAGCAGAGCAGCCAACAGAGAAGTGGATAGCACGAGCCAGGTCACATCGCCGCCGGGGTAGCCTCGTCACGTGGAGGATCTCCACCGCCCGGGTCGTCTTTGCGCGAGGAGGATAGTTGCCTCATCGTCGCGGGTAGGATAGCCGCAGCTGGGATCGTCTTGCCACTGCATAGGGTCGGCTCGTACAGCGTAGAATCGGGCGTGGCGGATGAGGAGGAGGAGGAGGGGACAACAGCGGCATCAGAGGGAGAGAGGGGAAGAGATCCGCGGCGGTGATGACGTCAGGGGAGAGAGGGTGTCGGAATCGAATCGACGGCGCTGGTGGCTGCGCTGCAGTTGGCGTGAGAGGGATGGAGCGAGGAGGTTGGGCGAGGGGAGGCAGAGCGATCTGGGCGAGCGGCGTGATTTTCGGCTATAGCAGGCCAAACGGGCAGCCCGGCCCAGCACGGCACGGCACACTGACGGCACGGCCCACTAGGGCACGGCCCGTTAGGCACGGCTCCTGTAGCGGGCCGTGCCGTGCCGGACCACGTGCCAAGGCCTCGGCCCAAGCACGGCCCAATGAGTTGCTGGCCGTGCCGGGCCGGCACGGCTACTGTAGCGGACCGTGGGCTGGTAGCCGACCCACTAGTACATGTGGCCCATAAAAATTGAAATTTGAGGGGAAAAAAAGAAAAAAGGCAGAAAAAATATAATATAATGGAAAACATTATAAATATAGGATAAATGTGAGGAAAATTTAGGAAATATATCATAAAATATATGGTACAAATAGGATAAAATGTGGAAAAAAATAAAAAATATGAGAAATATATGGAAAAAAAATAGAAAATCGTAGGAAAAATAAATGGGCCAGTGGGCCGTGCCATGCCTGGGCCGTGCCATGCCTGGGCCGTGCCGTGCCGGCACACTACAGTAAACATGCCGTGCCGTGCCGGCCCACGGGTTGAGGCGTCGGCCCAAACACGGCACGGGATAACGGGCCATGCTGGCACGGGCCTGGGCCGGCTACAATACTGACGTGCTCGGGCCGGCCCGGCTTGGCACGGCCCATTTGGCCAGGTATATTTTCGGCTGAGGTGCGGTGGTTTCTGCTTCCGGAGGTTGAGGGGTACGTGGGATGATATGAGCCATTGGATTGGATAATTCTGGACCGTTGAATTTGATAAATGAAGTACTACTCCGTCCAAAAAAAATCCAATTCTAGCTATGAACATGGATTTACATCCTTCATACCCCTTCGTCCTAAAAAAAATCCAATCTTAGTTATGAACCTGGACACCCTTCGTCCCAAAAAAAAATCTAATCCTAGCTGGGACAGAGGGGGTATGAAGGATGTAAATATCAGTAGGTGAATTATAGGATAGATAGATGCTTTAAGGCATCATGATTCTTAACAAATATTTTTCTCCATTGCAACGTATGAGAACTTTTTAGTAAATACTATAAAAAAATCCTTGACACCGTTTTCGCAAATATAGTAAAAACGATATCATCGTTTTCAACCCTAGGTACGGGGGCTGGCAGCTGGCTATATAATACGTATTGTAACTGTTCTACTGAAGCACATCTCAGCTTTGTTTTGTCAGTCATTTTTCCGTCCCATTTCCGATGACCTTTTCAGCACAACAGAAAATCGACCCTTTCCACCAAAACACAAACGAAATGTTGAAAACAAAGTATGAATCTGACGTTGCCCGGGCCCACAAGCACAGGCAGCGACCTCTTCCTTCCGACGAGGCAGGGATGGATGCAGAAAGGAAAGAGAGGGATTAGGGCAGTAGCTGTGCGCCCAATGATTTTGGCGAACTTTGCATCTTAGCTAGATGAAGAATCGCATTAGCCAGAAATTACTCCCTCCTTAAAAAAAAGATCAATCCTAACTACGAATCTAGGATTGTTTTTTTGACGAAGGGGTACTTCACAACGCAAAGTTACCTATAGTGGGTTCCAGTAGTATCATTTTTTTTTTTACGTTTTATTTCCCTTTCTCTCTAGTTTCCCCTTTTCCCATCGCACAGCTTCCTCCTTTCCCCATCGCACAAAAACAGCGGGCGAGGGCTGCAAGGTGGCACTGGGGCGACGGCGGCGGCGGGGCGGCCAGATCCACCCTCCCCCGAAGCAGCGGCGGTGTCGGCAACGCTGGAAAGGGGCGGCCAGATCCACCCCTCCACGGTCGAGGCCGCTCCTCTCCTCTCGCCGCGTCGGCTTCTCTCATCTTCGGCAGCGGCCTCTCCGCTAACCCTCCGCCCTTGCCTTTCCCTCTCCTCTCTGACCGCGGTCGATCAAGCGAGGACGAGCAAAAGCGCGGCGGCCATCTCAAGCGTCGAGAGTCTAGCGGAGCCAGAGGGCAACGGGCAGCCGTGGCGGCACCACCTCTCTCTCCGTCGGTGGCATCTCTCCTCTCCAGTGCTGCTCCTCTCTCCCCTCTTCCCTCGGCGGTGGCCTGCAGAGCCGGGGGCGGCGGCGGCATCGGGGAAGAGCGGCGAACGGCGGCGGTGCCGGCGACAAGCCCCATGACGGCGTCGCTCCTATCCCCCTCTTTCCCCCGGTTCCTATTTCGCCCCCATCCCCCCACACACCCTGACAAATCTGACGAGGTACCCATGGCCAACTTTGGCTCCCCGAACTTCACTTGGTTAGGGCATGTTAAATGGAGACCATTAGTACTAGTGGTCTCAACCTGCCACATAGGATAAGACAATATATAAACTACACCACCTACAATGGAGACCAGCTCTTAGGCTGTGTTCTTTGCTCAGGGTTTCCAACTCCTGTCCCTCGTATTCCGCGCGCACGTTTTTCAAACTGCTAAACGGTATGTTTTTTATAAAAAAAAAATTTCTATATGAAAGTTGCTTAAAAAACAAATTAATCTATTTTTTTTAAAAATAGCTAATACATAATTAATCATATTATAATGGACCGCTCCGTTTTTTATTTGAGATGGGTTCCCAACCCCTCTCCAACGAACATAGCCTTAGTGCATTTTATATTTCAGCCCTCGGTAATTTAAGTGTTAGTGCTTATGATATTTTTTATTATCAAACCGATTGGAGTTTTGTATTTTGGAACCCATAATAACAAAAAGAAGTACATATACACCATTAAACCATATGAACCCATCTGTCAACTACCCACATTTACAATTTCTTGGCTCAACCCCTCCCTCTCCCTGTCCGCGTCCCCACCTTATCACTTCCCCACCGAACCGTACACCGTTTCTCGGTGAAAAAAGCGCGATCCTCTCTCCTCATCCATCGCCGCCGACGCCCCCTCCTCATCTAGCATCGCCGCCCCTCATCCTTCAGCGCCACCGCGATCTCTCAACGGCGGAAGACGGAAGGCCGCCCCATCCGTTGCGCCTCCCTCTTCCACCGCCGGCCTCCACATCCGGCGCCGCCTCTCCCCCTCCTCCCCATCCACCACCGCTTCACCCTCCTCTTCGAGCGACGAGATTGGTGGCGGCGAGCTTCGAGCGCTGAAGGCCGACGAGCTCCGTGCGGCGGAGGGTGAGGAGGTCGGCCTCTCTCCTTCCACTGCCGCTGCGGTTATCTGGATCTGGTGGCCGCACCTCGCCGTCGCTTCTCTGTTCCTCCATCGCCATTGCTGCTCGTTCAGGGGACCACGCCGCGGGGGACACAGCTCGCCCAACGCGTGGCTCGAGCAGTGACGCCACAGTCCAGCGTGGTGCATTGAACATGGGGCCTTACGGGAGTAGTAGAATGCTGTGACGTGGTATGCTGGGGCTGAATGCACATCAGCACATGTATGAATTGTGAACGGGGCCTTTAGAATAGAAGACGAGAGAGCCAAGCAAGAAAGCCAGCCATTCGCCAGCGGTTCACTACAAGTAGCCAGCGCGCCACCCAGCAGTTTCCCCACCAACTCTGTTTTCCTTGGCCCTCCTCGTCTCTGGTCAACCGGGGGCAAGTCTGACTGCGTCCGCATCTTTGCTTTCTCTCTCTTCTTCTTCTTCCGCGCCTGTTTCTTGGCTCCCGGCCGAGGACGGCGGGCGGGATGAAGGCGGGCGAGCGGCCGAAGCTGGTCCGGGGCGTCCGGCAGGAGTCGCGGCGGTTCCGGCTGCTGGTCATCGTCGTCGGCTTCTTCCTCGTCTCCCTCACCTTCGTCTTCGTTTCCAAGCCCGACGCCATCCTCTTCAGCTGTAAGTTGACAAGGCCAATTTTGGAATCTCTACTCTTACATGCGCAGCGCAGTGAACGGCAAAGCTAAATTCGCCCTCTTTTTTGGTTTCTTTTCATGTGCACAGTGAACGGCAAGCTTCCGGTGGAACAGGCGCCGACGTCCATCCTGATCCAGCAGAAGGTCAACGAGCCCTCCGGCGAGTCCCGGAAAACCTCCACCGACGCTCTCCGTAAGCTCCTCCCCTCTCATCCTCTAGCCGATCTTTACGCCTTCTCGCACGGCGAATTGCGGGGAGCATCTGACTTCATCCTGTCCTGTTTCTTTCCCTTCTTCAGGTGGTGACCCCAAAGTGGTCGACGACGAAGCTGATGCGAAACCAAAAGGTCAGTTAATTAATTTCCTTTTTTTTTCTCCGTCACAATTTTACCTGACGGATACGAACGGTGTTCGTTCGTTCTTGCTCTTGTTACTGCCTAGCCTACCTTATCTTTTGCTTGGTCTCCTGATTGCACGTGTGGTACGGCCTCGTCTGATCTCCACAGGGACAGGAGGAGGCAGCGAGGAGGAAGAGGGGAGAGTGCTGAGCGAGCCGGACCCGACCAGCGGAATGATGGAGCCGACCCACAACAAGGACGGCAACGGCCATAAATCTCACCAGGAGACGTTAGGTGAACCGTCGCAGTTAACCCCCATAATTTCTTTGTCCACGAGCTATGAATTTTTCCAGAATTTTCATACATTCGGTAGAGAGCTCGTGGATCCGTGATCTGAAACTCAGAGCTGGGATGGGTAACTGAGCCTTTCTGTCAATGATTGCGCTGATCGATCTGTACTGTAGGCGGTGGAGGAGACGGGGAGAGTAAAGGGAATGACGAGGAGGGCGAACACGCGGAGCAGAAGCATAAAGTCACCCTCCCAACAGTTTCCAATTACACAATTCATGATGCTGCTGAGGACACTGAAAATGCCAAGCAAGAAGGTATACTATCACTGTACTCCACACATTCGCTGGTACACGACAACTGTCTTAATTTGTCCTAGTCTTAGGATATGCGATATTGGCGGTTGGCGTATCCATTTTAAGTTTTTGATCTAGACACTACTAGTAGTACTAGTCGGCACTAAGCATTCAATGAAGATATGCTTCAACACCTCTTCAGAATTTAAGTTATCTGGAATTTTAGGCCCCAGGGCAAGGGATGATATCGTCCCGTACCGTATAATTATATGCTATCGTTCCGATGATGATTGTTGCTGGCATCCACCGTTCCAGCACTGCGTTGCATTTTTATTGATGCATCCTGTCACTGTTTCTTTCTCTGCTGTTCCCACCTTTTAATGAAGAAAATACATGTTTTTGTTTGACCAAAATGAAAATACATGTTCCTGACGCACAACGTTCCATTTCTTTACAGGTATGAATAATGTCCAGCAGGGTAGCAAGCCCTTGTGTGATTTCTCTAATTTCAGAGCAAATGTCTGCGAGATGCGTGGTGACGTTAGAATTCATCCAACTGCCACTTCGGTCTTGTTCATGGAGCCTGAAGGTTCGCAGAGGGATGAGGTGTGGAAGATTAAGCCGTACCCTCGGAAAGGGGATGAATTCTGCCTCAGCCATATCACTGAGGTAACCGTGAAATCGAGCAAAGTGGCGCCTGAATGCACCAAATACCACGATGTGCCTGCTGTGATCTTCTCACTGACCGGCTACACGGGGAACCTGTTCCATGATTTCACTGATGTGCTCGTCCCTCTTTTCACGACTGCAAGCGAGTTCAATGGAGAAGTTCAGTTCCTTATAACAGACATGGCACTTTGGTGGACGATCAAGTACCAGACAGTTCTCCAGAAGTTATCCAAGTATCCTGTGATTGATTTCAGCAAGGATGACCAAGTGCACTGCTTCAAGCATGCCATTGTCGGGCTGCATGCCTATATGGAGTTCACAATCGACTCAACCAAGGCACCGCACAACTATTCGATGGCTGATTTCAACAGATTCATGCGTGGAGCTTACTCGCTGGGCAGGGACAGTGTGACCGTGCTCGGTGAGTACCCCAAGATCAAGCCAAGGTTGCTCATCATCAAGAGGCACCGTACAAGAATGTTTCTCAACCTGGATGAGATCATTTCCATGGCAGAGGAGCTTGGCTTTGAGGTGGTGATTGACGAGGCCAATGTGAGCTCCGATATCTCCCGGTTTGCGCGGCTGGTTAACTCCGTCGACGTGATGATGGGTGTCCATGGTGCTGGGCTCACAAACTGTGTGTTCCTGCCACAGCATGCGACGCTCATTCAGATAGTGCCATGGGGTGGCCTGGACTGGATATCACGCACCGATTTCGGCAACCCTGCAGAGCTGATGGGTCTGAGGTACAAGCAATACAGCATCGGCGTCGACGAGAGCAGCTTGACAGATCAGTACCCTAGAGACCACGAGATTTTCAAGAATCCTATCTCATTCCACCAGCGCGGATTCGATTTCATCAGGCAGACTTTCATGGACAAACAGAATGTGAAGCTGGACTGCAAGAGGTTCAGGCCTATTCTTCTGGAGGCACTGGATAATCTAAACCCGTAGGCTTTGAGATGCTCTTGTACAATGTTCCATTTTTCTTTTCACGGTTCGTTCCTTTTACTTTTATGTAGTAAATCTGTTGTTTATTCTCTCTCTATCTCTCATGGCTTTCATGAGGAGATGCAAATTGTCTGAATTATAGAAAAATTAAGAACTACTTGTGTGATAGTGTAAACTGTATAAATTGCCGTCGCTCCAAGATGGAACAATATTCATTCTAATCATATAAAGGTTCCTTGAATTATTCATCGAGAATTCCCTTCTCTTGTTTAATTGTTCTACTATCATTATGCTACTGGTACTATACTCCGTATCATTGACTTTCTCGTACCAACCAATGTGCTGTGCTGAGGTGCATCCGGATTCATTTAATAGGCGTAACGAGCACATGTGATCGCTATATACTGTCTGTCTGAAGTCTGAACAACGCTTCTAGTCGGAACATGTGATTGCACTTTAAGGATGTGATTATGCTTGATAGGTGGATCAAATGGACCAAATAGTGGCTGACTTACCGTGGTGAACTATGCTTGATAGGTGGATCAAATGCAGCCTAGTACGTTTGGGGCTTGTAAATATGTATACATCCAAACAGGATTTTAACTCACGCTAAGGGCTTGTTCGGAGGTGAGGGGACTGGGGGATGCTTAGTGTGTTGTGTGTTGTTTCTTTGGAACGTCGTGGATTGGGAGATTACTAACGTGACTAACAAAGTAGGAAGAGTTGTGAATACTTGGATGAGGAAAGAATAAAAACGCTAGATACATTTGAAATAAACAAATATATATACTATTCTACTTCAGAACCTGATTTGCAAGTTCACTACTACCAGATGGAAATGGGTTCAAAACCAGCACAGTGAGACTTGGAGCAGATGTTATTGTATTCAGCTGCACACAAGATAATAGGTTCTTCCCTAATTTAACATTACATTATCTTCTTATAATATTTATACTGTTTCATCTACATATTTAGCGTCAATTCCTCAACCTCTTTGGTCCTTACTGACCCTGAAAATCACCACATGATGTTATTCATTGAAGCAAAATATTAATTATATTAAATTAAATGTTGCGTTCAGTTCTCTCTGATTTATTGAGCTAACTCTGTTTATGTTAATGTTTTGACAGGAGATTGACACGGAGTATTGGTCTACTCTCTTATACATTCCTTACAAAAACTGGCTGCAATGACATATTAGTACCAGTGGTCAGTTCATTAACTTGTTAGCTACTTAACCTATATCAACTTAACTTGTTTCAATGCAGAAGTCAGCTAGTAGTAAAAGTTCTCAGCAAACTAGTTACGTGCATATGGCTTTTCAATTTTGGTCTGTACATGACACTAATTTTATAATTAACTAGGGAAACTTTCTGTTATTTTCTTTGTAGGCTGATTATGAATTTGATGCATCATCTCATACTCTCAAGAAAATAATGGACCGTGGTGAGAAACATTTTTCTTCCAATTTGTCCACTCTTTTGAAGTGCCAGAGTGGTATAGCGATCTTGAACGTCCGACTTGAACGAACAAATCACAGAAGCATCGGTAATCTCAGGGATCGTATTACGGCACTCGTTGAAGCACCGAATATAGTCCCTTAAAGACTCACCGGGGTTCTGAGTTAAGGCGTGTAGGTCGTCCTCGATCGCGTGGTGCTTGTATGTTCCTTGAAAATTGGCGACGAACTGCTGCCACAAGTCTTCCCATGAAGAAATTGAGCGGGGCGGGAGGTGAACTAACCATGATCAAGCAGATCCTTTTAACGCGGCTGACAGATAATTTGTCAGCGTGTTATCATCTGCCCCAGCAGCATAGAGAACCATGGAATAGACATGGAGGAACTCCTCGGGGTCAGTGCTTCCATCATATTTCTCTATCGCTCCTGGTCGGAATTTTTTGAGTCACCGTACTTCTCGTAGTGTAGGTGTGAACGCTCTACATCCTCCTCCTAGTACGAGAGGTCGTCGGTGCCCATGTTGTCGCCGAGGCGGCCTAGCTGATGATGAGGAAGATGAAGACGATGATGACGAAGGGTCGCTTAGGCTTGGGGCGCAACTCCTGGACCAGCATCCTCGTCGCCAGTCCCGACGAGAGGCTGGGGAACGTGTGTCCCGTCGTTGTCAATCACCATCGTCTCGTTGTCGACCTCGACCATTGTTGCCTTGGACTCGTTGTTCACGATGGTCATCATCGTGATGGCCTTGGCGATCCTGCCGGTCTCGGTTCTCGCTAGGATGACCTCCTTGATTCGCATTATCATTCCGTCGTGGAGGAGGGCGGCATTGAGGGTGATGAGCGTCGTCCTGATCTCGTTGTTCCCGCCGGCACCCGTTTAGGTGATCGCGCAGATTGCGGTTACCTTGGGACGGTGTGGTCTAAAGGCGAGGACCACGTGGTGATGCATTTGTGAGGGTTGCGACCTAGATCCCGGCTTGGATGGTTGCTGGGGTCTTCGCTAACTTCGACGTCAGCCTCCTTGTGCACCTCCTCTCCTTGGATCGGAAGTCGCGGTAGATCTCGTGCCGGTGGTTCGGCTACTGCCGCAAAAGCATTATTGAGATTCGCCACCGTATCCCAAATTCGTTGAACCCAAAGATCACCATCAGGGTGCAAGACTGGGTCAAATGGGCTTTCTCTTAGAATTGAATTGATAGTGTTTAGGTGCTGGGCGGGAGTACGTGTAAGGTCCACGGTTGCCCGAGCAGCTGCATCACTGGTGCCCTCCCCGTCGATTACATTCACCTCACATGGAGTGTTCGATGAGGACGATTCTCGATCTTCCAAGCCATGTAGGACCGAGGGTTCATGGGGGTCAACACCATTGAATCCCACAAAACGATCCGGAGTCGTCTTCGCGGCCCATTCCTCTACAACACGTCGAGGTTGAACTCGCAGTTGTTGGATCTGAGGGCGTGGAGATGTGGTCGCGTTGAGAAAAACTCTGCAACTTGAGAGGTCATGCATCCTTGACTTGTGAATTGGACACCAGGTGATGTTTGTTGGTGAAGTACGCTTTATTCCTCATTCTTTGTAAGCTTTGAGTTCAGCCTTCACATGTTGTGCCACCGGGCAGTTTGACAGAGAGTGCTTGGGTGTCTTGTGAATGACACACCAAGTAGTTGACTTCTGAGAAGACGTCCTTGTCGGCGCCTGGTTCACAATAAGAGGACGGGAGTTGGCTGCTTAAGGTCGTTCTCCAGATGTTGCTGTAGGCATGTCGTTTCTCGAAGTCATAGCTGCGCCGTTCTCGTTCCCGACAAAGATTGGGCCAGACGAGATTGGTAACTTGAGATTGGCTGCAAAGTAGACTGGAAAGACGATGGATCTGACTTGGGTCCACATCAGCGGTGTTGAGGTTGGATCTCCTGAGCAGGGGCTGATGTAGACAAGATTGTCAGGGCGGCTTGAAGTCATGCCGGCAGAACCTTGAGCACCATGTTCCCCTACCTGGCGCGCCATTATCAATTGGGTATACCCGTAGACCGGATAAATAGGATATTGAGGTACGTTGGTACGAGGATCTACATGATACGACATCAAGACAAACAGAGAAACAAAGATTATACTGGTTCAGGCCCCTCGTGAGAAAATAGCCCTAATCCGGTTTATATGAAATTGATATGGAGAACCAGTACACAGAGAACAGATGAATCCGGCGTTGCCGGCAAGATCCTTGTCGAGATGATTCGACGAGATCTCCCAACGAGTAGGCTTAGCGTCCTCCGGCTTTGTAAACTATGGTGGGTGTGTTGGCGCTATGACTCGATGATCTGAACCCCTCAGGGGGTGTGCCTTTTATACCGTGAGTTGCCTTAGTCTTCAAGTAGAACTCGGAGACAATGAACTCTACACGATATAGAATACTCAATCCTCTTCGAGTAAGACTCTGTTAATCACTAGCCCGTGAGGATTATTTTCCATAATATCTTATAGATTTCCTTATCACGTATGGAAATATATCGTATGAACGACGGTATACCATAGTTGTATATTCCATAAGTCATAGGATAGGAGGTATGCCTTATCCGTAACCATGACAGAGATCGAGTTTGCTCTTCACCAGCATGGATTCAAGGGCGCTCGAGCTCTACCTTCACTTTGGGCTGATCCTGAGCTCCAGATCTGCTGGTGGTGCCCATACTCCACTTAAACTCCAACTTCGCGTATGATGGCCTTGGCTCCATGCCACTCGATCTCCACTTACAACCAACTGGAGGCCATGCTTTTGCATCTGCAATGTTGCCCACACGTCACCAAGCGCCCACAACTCAAACCCGTCGATGGATACATATGAAGTGTCACCACATTGGTGGAGACTGAAGAAAGGTTGAGATCAGAAGTGGGTACTAACATATGGGCTAATAGTCTAAAGTAAACTGATTTGATAAGAGCACATTGGAGAACATAGTCTAAAGTTAAAATGGGTAGTCCAATGTGAAAATAAGGTTAAAAAACTTGGTACAACATATCATTTACTCTTTAACCTATGGTTGTGTAGCAAACAATCCAAAGGATTGAAAACATTGGGTGGAGTGGATTATTTTTTTCCCTTTGTTTTCCCTTTAAAAATGGAGGGGTAGGAACTTTTCCTTTGGTGCATTCCTTTGAAACGAATGACAGTACAACGCCTATTCCAAAGGATTGCTTATTCCTGTACTTTTCCTTTACAATTCCTTTGAAATGAATAAGCTCCTACGGTTTTTCTTTTGGGAGTACCTATGTACTCTCTCCGTTTCACAATGTAAGTCATTCTAGCATTTTCCACATTTATATTGATGCTATATGTCTAGATTTATTAGCATCAATATTAATATGAGAAATGCTAAAATGACTTACATTGTGAAATAGAGGGAGTAACATTCAAAAGCTTTTTAGATAAAAAACTTTCAAATGTAACTACGTAACTACTATAGAGCTACTAATATGGAGCTACACTACAGGTACTAACTCCCCCGGTGCAAGTGACTAGCGCATCTAACACTCAAATTGCAAGTCATGAGTTCGTTGTTCTTAAAAAAAGTCACTAGTTTGATTCCTGCTTGTTATGAAACCGAGCTCCCGAAGGAGTCGAATTTGTAGGACCGTGATCGTGAGGATCACGGTACCTCCTCCTTCTATTCTTTTGTTTCCTTATTAATGAAGTGGGCTTATACCAAATATATATGTATGTATCCATATAGGACATCCTATTGTGGGTATAAATACAATAGTGAGGTTGAGGGCAAAGTAATACTTGTAACAGAGAGAGAAACATCACTAAAGTTGATTGTCCTCCACTTTCGTGTCCGTGTGTTCGTGTGTGCTTGTTTGATTGTTGACAATGTGAATTCTAACACGTTATCAGCACGAGGTGCTCTTCAGCCAAGGTATATTGTCAACATCGATCTGTCCTAATCTCGTTCTATAGGGATAACGATAAACTTGCTAGATCGTTTTCTGTTTTTTTTATTTCTCCGCTAATCGTTCGATCGATGGGTTGTACTACGTGGATTTGTTCCTTATGGCGCACATAGCAGGAGAGTTTGCGGCTCTCCACCCCATGCGCGACAGGCGTATGGGGTTATCCCTTGTACAACCGATCTATCGAACGAGAAGCGGTTATCGCTATAGTCCGATTAGATCTGTTCCCAGCCTTTGCACTGGGTTTCTTTTCTTGCAAACAAATACACGGATACCGTACGCCCTAGACGCGCGAACGGATCAGACAAGCCGCCGCAAGAACGATGGTTTAGAACTAGTGATGCCTCGAAGGGCGACGCTACGTTCAGGGTGTAATCGCGATGCACATGAGAAGAATCGCGTACCTGGCTAACGTGATTGCTGATTCCAAATGAATCGGCCCAAATACTCATGCCTGCGCCGCCGTCCTCCTGAAGTTGACGACGACGAAACCGAGTCGATGACGCCAGCATGCGCCGTCGTGCCCTCGCCGCCGCCAGCACGCGTCGCCGGCCACCCCCTTCACCGATGGCTGCAGAATCGTGCCATCGGCTTTCCGTCGTCGGTTCGCCCTTGAAAAGCCAGCCGACGGGTCTTCAATCGACCGCCCGCACTCGCCGTCAACAGCCGCCACCCGCAGAGACGCTGAGGAGACCGCGCCCGCATCCCCCCGCCGCCGACACGCACGGCACGCCTCCCGCGCTACCGCACGCGACTGGGACGGGGGTCGAAGCCGCCGCGACCTCCCGCCGCCGATAGTCGTCCGCCTCGCCGGCCCGCATGCCGAGCCAAATTCCGCCGGCGCACAGCAAGGAGTTGCGCTTGCCGGACGCTGGATACGGCCCGTAGCCAACCACGCCGGCATCGGTGCTGCTTGTAGCCTCACCGCCGCTCCGCCTCTATCGTCGACCCCGCCGCGCCGACGAGCTCCGTCGACCCCGCCGTGACGACGAGCCCCGTCAACCTCGCCGCTTCGCCGAGCAGGCCGACGGTCCCGACGGTCCGGTTAACCTTTGAATAGCCGGTACATAGAGGTGGGCCGAGTATAAATTAGGCCTATAAAAGGAGTCAGGCTCGAATCAAAATTTGGCCCGAAAAAGGCAAACTTCTGAATATGTCCTTGAATTTTCATGATACACGCGGATTTGGAATTTTAGCGGAATAGTCCCTCGGGATCATAGAAATTACAGAGAATATCACTTTTTTTTTGTTATTCCGTACTTTCAATTTTCTGTATATTAACTGTTTATTAGTTAATTTTTGAATCAACCATAGAATCCTAGAGACATGGTTTTTAGGAAATGAGCTCTCATAATTTGAAATTTAGTACACACCAGAGAGCATCATATTTATGGTTTATTTTCCTAGCTGTTTTATTTTTTTCAGGATACTATTTAATGGGTTAGTAATTCAGTAATTAATTTGGTACCTAAATAAATAGTACAACAATTCTGAGAAATGTTGGGAGAATTATGGGAATATATTGACACAGTACTAAATTTGGATAACCAGACAATTTACTATTTGCACACTTGTTATGCTCTTACTTGCAGTGCTTATTGAATTTTGCATGACTAATGTAGGAAAATGACTGATATTGCTAAGAGAGATTTTGCTGAACTAGCAGTCAGCGGCAAGAATTACCTGACATGGGCACTGGATGCCAAAATCATGCTTGGTGCTAAGAAACTCCTGAACTGCATTCAGGACCCAACTATTGCAACATCAGCTGGAGGAGTTAATAATTTACCAACTTCAGCCGAGAAAAATCAGGCACTGCATTTCCTGATGCACCATTTGAATACTACTCTCAAGAATGAGTATATGACTGAGGAAGATCCGAAGGTCCTTTGGGACTCACTGAAGGATCGCTATGGCCATCAAGTAAAGGCTTTGCTCCCAAAAGCAAAACGTGAGTGGCTTCACTTATGTTTCCAGGATTACAAATCTGTGGAGTAATATAACTCAGTTCTTCACCGCATTGTCACTTGTCTTAAGCTATGTGGAGAGAAAATCACTGATGCTGACATGATAGACAAAACTTTGTCCACCTTCCATGCCAATCATGTGAATATTCAGAGGCAATACCGCCAGGCTAAATACGAGAAGTATTCTGAACTGATCTCCGTGCTCATGGAAGCGCAAGGAGAAGATGAGACACTTGTTGAAAATCATACGTCTCGCCCCACTGGAAGTTCAGCAGCACCCGAAGCAAATGCTAGCTCCTTTAAGAAGGGGAAAAACCAGAATAACCAGAACAAAGGGAAGAATTTCTGGAAAAATAATGGTAAAGTTAACAAGATGTCTTTCAAGAAGAAAGGAAATCAGAATAGTAAGTCTAAGAAGGGCTCTACTAGTGGTGAATATGGAAAGCAATATCAGGTATGCTTCAAGTGTGGCACTAGGGGACACTGGTCTCGCATTTGCCGCACCCCTAAGCATCTCATTGAGCTTTATCAAGAGAAGCACGGGAAGAAGAAGTCAGAGCATGAGTCACACTTCACTGTTGAGATCCAGCACTCAGAGGAGAAGATGGCTGCCATGCATATCGACAAGCAGGTCGACGAGAAGGCAGTGGTTGCAATGCACATCGATGATAAGATGGAACATAATGCAGTAGACGCAGAGCTGAAGCTCTCAGATGATCTCATGGACTCTGATCAGTTATATGGGGACATTTAAGTCTTCCAATTTGTATCTTAGCTTCCTACATTATAAGTTACTTTAAATTTTAGACTATGTAATAGACTAAAGTTAGGTGATTTTTCAAGTGTGCATTTAGTTTGTGTTCCTAGCAGAACTATAGTTTCTGTAAGCTCCTTCAGAGCAATGGTTATCTTAATAATTGAGTGAACTCTTTTAGTTTAATATATTTCCCAGATTTTTATTTTTCTATCTTAAAGTGTTAATTTTTGCTATATGGTCATGAATTGATTATATTTAAATGCTTTATGATAAGAACAGTGTTACATACTATGGCAATGGAAGAGGAGATGTGTCTGGTAGATTGTTGTACCACCAATACTATCTTTCGAGATACCATGTATTTCCAGACTTTAAAGAAAAAGACTAGTCAAATCGCTACTATTGCCGGAAGCAATGCACACATCGTCGGAGTGGGACGAGCATCAGTAGTTCTCCCACATAGTACCAAGATCATTATAAATTATGCTCTATTATATCCAGAGTCCAGTCGTACTCTACTAAGCTTTAAAGATATCCGTGCTAATGGTTATCATGTAGAAACCAAAGATGAGAATAAACTCGAATTTCTTCTCATAACGAAATTAGACGGAAATCGTAAGACTATTGTTGAAAAACTCCCTTCCTTGAAATCTGGCCTGTACTACACTCATATAAAACCCGAAAATGTTGCACTGAAAACAATATTTAAAAATCCCGAGTCATACAGAATATGGCATGATAGGTTAGGACATCCAGGTCTAGGGATGATGAGAAGAATCATCTCAACTTCAAATGGCTATAATTTACGACCTAACGATTTCCCAAACCAAGAAGATTTTGTTTGCACTGATTGTGCAACATGGAAATTAATCGTTAGACCCTCTAATCTAAAGGTGAACGCAGAATCACCAGTATTCTTGCAACAAATACAGGGAGACATATGTGGACCAATTAATCCCATGTCCGGATCATTCCGGTATTTTATGGTATTAATTGATGCATCAACTCGATGGAGCACTTTTTGCTTACTTTCTACTAGAAACCACGCTTTTGCGCGGCTTATTTCCCAAATAATCCAGTTGAGAGCCAGTTTCCCGGGTAACCGGATACAATCCATTAGAATGGACAATGCCGGGGAGTTTACCTCTAAGGTATTTAATGAATATTGCATGGCTTTGGGAATTAAAGTGGAACATTCTGTACCACACGTCCACACTCAGAATGGTCTCGCCGAATCATTAATTAAGAGGATTAAGCTTATCGCTAGGCCATTGCTACTGCATAGCAACCTACCAACTACATGTTGGGGACACACTGTTTTGCATGCAGCGGCGTTACTTCAAATCAGACCTACTGCATACAATGTTGTATCCCCTATGTAGCTTACACGTGGATATGCACCAAATATTTCCCATCTACGCAAATTTGGATGTGCTGTATACGTCCCTATACCGCCACCTAAGCGTACGTCAATGGGTCCTCATAGAAAATTGGGAATCTATGTAAGATTTGAATCTCCGTCTATCATTAAATTTTTAGAACCATTGACAGGAGACCTACATATGGGTCGATACGCTGATTGTATATTTAATGAAGATCATTTCCCGGCATTAGGGGGAGGAAAGTACCTACAGAAGGTCGAATGCCGCGAAATTGAGTGGGAAACTAAAAATCTCCTACATTTAGATCCACGTACTAAGGAATCTGACCAGGAAGTTTAGACCATAATTGATTCGCAAAGAATTACAAATAATCTGCCAGAAGCCTTCACTAACCTAAAGGGGATCATGAAATCTCATATACCTGCTGTGAATGCACCGGAAAGAGTAGAAATACCTCCTGACGCAGAGGAACTGGTTTTCAAATTAATTTCTACATCTACCCCAACTTCTAGGAAGAAGGGGAGACCACCGGTTGCACACAACCAAACTAAAGTTTCTAGGAGACGTCCTACGAAACAACAGATTGGACAGAATACCACAGCACCAGAGAATAGTGAAGGAGCTCACCAGGTAGATGAGCCACCTGCAGTGACATGCCCGGATGGCAATGAACCCAGTGAGAATGCGCGCGCAATTACTACTAGCACTAGGAGACCGGAAATTCCTGACTTAAACATTGCGGGAAACAATGAAGATCAGGAATGTGAAAGAATAGAGGAAATATCCACCAGTTATGTGGATACAGGTGAAACATACAATAGAGAGACTACTATTGTCGACATATACTTTGCCGAAAAGATCGCTAAGATCATTGATCTGGATCCAGAACCAAAGTCCATGGCAGAATGCAAAAAAGCGTTCAGACTGGGTCAAATGGAAAGAAGCAATAAAGGCAGAGTTAATCTCGCTCAATAAAAGAAAATTATTCGGTCCTATTGATCGTACCCCCGTAGGGATATCCTCTGTAGGATATAAATGGGTGTTCGTCCGAAAACGGGATGAGAACAACCAGGTGGTTCGGTATAAAGCAAGATTAGTAGCATAAGGGTTTACGCAGAGACCTGGCATCGATTTCGATGAAACCAATTCACCTGTAATGGATGGAATTACATTCCGGTTCTTAATATCTATGGCAGTCAATTTGAACTTAGAAATACAGTTGATGGATGTAGTGACCGCATATTTATATGGGTCATTGGATTTTGAAATCTATATGAAAGTTCCTGATGGGATTCAAGTTCCTGAAGAAAAAAACACAACATATACAGTGTTAAATTGCAAAGATCATTGTATGGGTTAAAACAATCCGGTAGGATGTGGTACAACCGGCTCAGTGAATTCCTAGAAGGAAAAGGATTCATCAAGAATGATGACTGTCCCTGTGTGTTTATCAAAAAAATCAGAACATGGATTTTGTATTATTTCTGTATATGTGGATGATCTGAATATCATCGGGACCACACAGGTGATTAAGGAAGCTAGTTCTTACCTAAAGACGGAGTTCGAGATGAAAGAATTAGGTAAGACTAAATATTGCTTAGGTCTGCAGCTTGAGCACACTCATGAAGGGGTATTGTTACACCAGTCTGCATATATCCAGAAGATAATGGAGAAATTTAATATGAAGGATTTATATCCGACGAGAACCCCCATGGTAGTAAGATCTCTAGCAGTAGAGAGTGACCCATTTAGACCATAGGAAAATAACGAGGAATTATTGGGACCTGAATGTCCATATTTAAGCGCTATTGGAGCTTTAATGTATCTCGCGAATGGTACCAGGCCTGATATTGCATTTGCTGTTAACCTACTTGCAAGGTTCAGTTTGGCTCCTACCAAACGGCATTTGAATGGCGTTAAGCAAATCTTCCGTTATTTACGTGGCACACAAGATCTCGGTTTATTCTTTAGAAAAAATCAAGATTTGACCATGGTGGGATATGCTGATGCTGGATATTTGTCAGACCCCCATAAAGCATTGTCACAGACTGGGTATGTGTTTCTCTGTGGTGGTACAGCCATCTCATGGAAGTCGACGAAGCAGACGATGGTCGCGACATCAACAAATCACTTGGAGATTATAGCATTATTTGAAGCGAGCAAGGAATGCATGTGGTTGAGGAGGGTGATACAACATGTACAGAATACATGTGGGCTGAATATCACACCAACTCCAACCATTATTTTTGAAGATAATTCAGCTTGTGTTGCACAAATACAAACGGGTTATGTGAAGACGAGTCTCACAAAACATATATCGCCTAAATTCTTCTATATGCATGAATTGCAAAAGAAAGAAGAAATTAAGGTGACTCTCACCAAGACTAGTGAAAATCTCACAGATTTATTTACTAAGTCTTTGCCAATTAGTGTTTTTGAGAAGCTTGTGCATGGCATCGGTATGAGGAGGATGAGAGATGTGCACAAATCGGGGGAGCACTTCCCTGACTGTGTTCCGTTGATATTGATCATGCAGATCAGTACATCATTCTTGAAGAATGATAGAGTTATCCTTGAAGAATGATAGAGTTATCCAGTAGATTAGCTTATGGTTGTACTCTTTTTCCCTTTAGTGAGTTTTGTTTGAAGTTTCTCACATTTAGGTTTTTAATGAGGCAACAGTGCAATATAAGTAGCGTGTACTATGTACTCTTTCTCCTATTCATTTTTCTCCCACTGGGTTTTTGGAAGGAGTTTTGATGAGGCATATGTATAGCACGGTATTCACCCAAGGGGGAGTGTTATGAAACTGATCTCCCGAAGGAGTCGGATTTATAGGACCGTGATCATGAGGATCACGGTACCTCCTCCTTCTATTCTTCTGTTTCCTTATTAATGAAGTGGGCTTATACCAAATATATATGTATGTATCCATATAGGACATCCTATTGTGGGTATAAATACAATAGTGAGGTTGAGGGCAAAGTAATACTTGTAACAGAGAGAGAAACATCAATAAAGTTGATTGCCCTTCACTTTCGTGTCCGTGTGTTCGTGTGTGCTTGTTTGATTGTTGACAACGTGAATTCTAACACTGCTGTCCGCATGGAGAGAAAACTTGTGACATTTTCTTCCTCTCCTAATCATGAATATTGATGCATATCCGGCGGTCCAAAATTCGAAATTGTCCTCCTCCCTAATTTTCTTGGGACGGTTTTTAGCAAAACCGTTTCTTTTTGCCCGGTTATGGGAAGGGGCTACCTGACGCGTACGCGCCGCCGTCGCTCGTTTTTTCGGCCTAAGTAGTTCTACTAATCTACTACTACGATAGGGCATGTAGCCTGGTGGTTGCAGTCACCTGAGTAGTACCCCAAGGTCCTGAGTTCAAATTTTCATATGAGCGAATTTTAGATTGGGTTGTTTGCGGGGCTAAGTTCCTAATTTTAATGACCGCATATATCCGGTTAGATGTAGAGGCCGGGAAAAAAAATACCATTCTCTAAAAAAATACTAATCTACTAGTATATTAGTTGGATGTAGAGGCCGGGTAAAAAAATACCCTTCTCTAAAAAAATACTAATCTACTAGTATATTAGATAATAACAGTTTATGATAATGATGTTACTCCGTCCCAAAATATAAGCATTTGTAGCTATAAATCTGGACACACAGGTGTCTAGATTCATAGCTAATAATTGCTATATTTTGGGGCGTAGGTAGTAGTAGATAAGATTTTATTTTTTATGTGAGATTTTTTTAACTAACAAATTAAAAAGAAATCTACATATGAAGTCACAGTTTCAAAATTTTAAACCCAGATTTGAAAACTTTCAACTCAAAATTTAAATTTTTTAAGTCAAATTTGAAAAACTTTCAACTCAACTTTGAAAACTTTCAACCCAGATTTGAAAACTTTCAACTCAAGATTTGAAACTTTCAACTCGGATTTGAAAACTTTCAACTCGAAATTTGAAAACTTTCAACTCGATATTTAAAAATTTTTAAATTAAGATTTAAAAACTTTCAAGTCAAGATTTAAAAACTTTCAAAAAAAAATTGAAAACACTTGCTGCTGGAAGATTAAAAAGTAATCTGGAAAAAACAGAAAAAAAAGGAAAGCGATAAAAAAGAAAACGGCGATGGTTAGCGAAGAAAAAATCTCGCGCGCCGCGTGGGCTGTATGGGCCAGGGGTGCGCGAATCAGGATTCTCGTATGGGAAGTCCTGTTTTCTAAACCCTGTACAATCCTCATCCACTCAGATCTCTCTTCCCATCTGATGACATCATAGTACCACTACCCTCCGGGCATGGCGGCGTCGGCGCCGGTGGAGGTCGGCGCGCAGGGCACCATCGGCTCGCTGGTGTGCCGCGAGGTCGAGTACTTCCGAAGGATGGAGGTCGCCGTCGTCAGCCACGACCACGGCAAGAACATGAGCAGCAGCAGCAAGCAAGCAAGCCGCCGCCGCCACCGGCAGCGTGGGGAGCCCCAGGACCAGGAGCAAGGTCCGGCCGCCGTTGAAGGAGGGCGCGGGCGGCGGGCCTACTTATTCTTGCCCAGCATTTGCTCGTCGGCGGAGGTGGCGGAGGCCACCGGCGCCGCCAGGGTCAGGTACCAGCATCTGGGGCAAGATGAGGGCCATTCTCTTCCTCAATAATACGCATTTTCGTGCAGGCCATTTGCATCATATCAGATCAGATCTGGAGAAGAACAGAATGTCAGGGTACCTAATGCATGTTCGTCCTGCTCTCATCTTTCGTCTTCTTTCTTTGATTTTTGTTCAGGGTCAAAACTGTGTAATGACATGTGTGCCATCTGGCAGAATTACTACTTTAATTATTGAAGTGGATTATTTGGTCCTAAGAAAAGACTACTGATAGAATTAATACTATCTAACTCCTAGCTAGTGTATAGCACAAAATTGCAAATTTCAGTGATGCAGACAATACAGTATGCAAAATTTTGATAGGCTATGTTAATTGGCAGCGCGTACAAGGCAAAGAACAAACCTAATTTCCGTTTTTAGATCTGCAAACTAGTCTTCTGAAAAAAAAATAAATCAAGAAACAAGATTAGGCATGGCAACTAAAATAACAAGGTGAAAAGGACAGCGTTGAACTTGGGCATGTTTGGTTGATAACTGATGGTACCACATATTTTTTACTAAGGTGGTTAAGCTTAGTCTTGTCATACTTTTGTGGTAAACAAAATGATAAACTAAACTAAAATAAAGTTAGGCAAAAAAAATAGAGTTTATAACATGTGGGCCATGTAATTAAGAGTTAGACAAAATATAGTTGTGAAACACTACCTGCTAGTCATTAGCAACCATGAGACAACGCAACTATGAAAAACATTTAATAAATATTTTATATCAACTGTGTTACTAAAGGCCTGTTTAGATCCCATACAAAAACTTTACACCCTACCACATCGAACGTTTGAACACCTGCATAAAGTATAAAATATAGGCTAAAACAACTAATTGCACAGATTGCGACTAATTTGCTATACAAATCTTTTAAACCTAATTGCTCCATGATTTGATAATGTGGTGCTACAATAAATATTTGCTAATGATGGATTAATTAGGCTTAATAAATTCGTCTCGTGGTTTATTGGTAGATTCTGTAATTATTTTTTATTAGTGCCCGAACACCCCATGTGACACCCTATATAATATCCGATGTGACACGTTAAAACTTTACACCTCCGGATCCAAACACCCCCTAAGAGAAAAATAAGTCTGCTTGCTTCTCCATAGAGTCGCTTTCTAAGCGCTTTTTCCAACATGGACATAAACGATGCTAACAGACTGGTAGTGCAGAGGGCCTGATTGGAAGCGAGAAAATGGACATTTGGCCATGTTCAAAAAAATACGGTTTCGTTAGAATATCATCCAAAAATGTGTTTCGTTAAAATGCCAATATGAAACACATGCTCACCGCCACTTTGCCATTTTGGCCGTTTTGTGCATTTTCGAAATCATTTTTGCTTCTTCGGTGGGTGATTTGACGAAATTGCCCTTCCATCCTTCCCCTTCCGTGGCGGCAGCCCTGGCAGCGCCGCCGGATGAGCCCATCGCCACTGCCAGCGAGGGCATCTGGGGGTATGGCGAAGCGAGGCGCACCTGCGGGTGCGCGGGTGGACGGAGCGATGGAACCACCGGCGACTGCCCCTGCCCGTTGCCGCCAGACAGCACCGATGAGGCGGAGGCGGAGGCGAGGTCGTCAAGGAGGCCTCGTGGTTGCGGAGGCCTGCGAGGCCATGGGGCCGCCTCGAAACCCTAGCCGTCGTCGTCGACTGCGGCGAGGTAGTCAGCGACCTCCGGGATGCCGTCGTCAACCGCGGCAAGGTAGTCGGTGGAGGTGGTGAGGTCGAGGGAGGGGAAGATGTCAGAGGACTCGCCGTCTGGGCTCTCCCAGATAGCACCGCTCCGGACGCCATCCATGGAGGAGGACGAGGAGGAAGACAGTGAGCTGCTCGTGGTACGAGGCGGTAGCGGAGGACATGAAGGACAATTTTGTCTCGTCACTCGATGGAGGAGCGAAGATGATTTCGAAAATACACAAAACGGCCAAGATGGCAAAGTGGCGGTGAGCACGCGCTCCATATTGGTATTTTAACGAAACGCGTTTTCGAGATGACATTTTAGCGAAACCATGTTTTGAAAGTAGCCAAATGTCCATTTTCTCGATTGGAAGGTATTTTTTATGAATGTGAACAAAGCTTGAAAAGACAATTTTAGAGTACTCTCTCCGTCCTGATTTTAGATGGAATTGATTTGATATATTCTAGGACTATGAATATGAAAAAAAAATTATCCGGATTGATAGTCCTAGAATATGTTACATCCAACTTAAAATCCTTATATTTTAGGATGGAGGGAGTAACACTTTTCTACTTCTCTTTTTAGCGGATCAAAATTCAAGGTTAAAAGCTAGAAAACAATTAAGAAACCTAAATTAATTCTAAAATTAAGTAAGCTTAGCACTACCTCCGTATCAAAAGACTTCATTTTTATCTCATGATATACAAATCAATCCAAAGTTTAAAAGGCTAGAATACCTTTAATTTTAGCAAATCCTAATGCATTATGCACTTACCATCCACTTCATCAAATTACAATGCATTTGTTTTTTTATTTTTTTTATGTACATTGAGCAGACACAGGGAAATCTTGTGTACGTAGGTCGTAAGCTCCCTAACTTTGCTACACTGTTATCTAACCCTATGAAATCAGTATATAACTACCATTGCATCAACCTCGCAAAAAAAAAAAGGCCGAAAGACAAGAACGTATATCTACAAGAACTGGATCGTTTTGTTGAGAACTCAAGCAGCATCATATGACTAGAAGCGTTTGTCACCAGGGTGAACGACCACCGAGGCTGGTTCACAGCGTTTGGGAAGACAGAGGGAGTGCAGAGTGCTTCCCGTAGACAAATGCCATGTATAGAACAGAACTGCACTCCAGGACCAGGAGCATCTGCCCAAATGTGAAGGACCCTCAAGCTGGAAGGGTACGGTCCATCAGTTTACTTCCACCGAAGGGCACAAACCAGACTTGCCTTCACCGCAGTCAAGCACAAAGTTGCGATCATAGCCACTGGGGACTCGATCGATCCTGCTGCTACCAATTGTGGTCGGAAAAGTCCAAATTACCCCCAGAAAATTACGACAGTACGAATTACCTACTAAAATACAGAACCATACATTTTACATCTCAAACTTTTTAAACCGGTCGAATTATCTCCTAACTCAATCTGGAGAGGTTTTGCTCCTACGTGACGATCCAGTCAGCTTAATAACAATAATGATGATATTAGGCTCACATGTCATATCTCTCCTTCCTTTCTCTTAGCCAAAAAAAAAAAGACAAAACCAAAAAGAGGACATCATGGAGGCGGTCGTCGGGCGAGAGGAGGGCAGGAGCAACGATGTGGCATCTTCATCAGCGGCGGCAGTGTGGAGGCAACGCTGCAAGGTTGGAGCTAGCGGCGGCGGCGCAACGTTCAATGTTCTTGATCCCTCTCCTCCCTTCTCTGACGCTTGCCGGATTCACCGGTGTCCTCTGCGAGCTCGCTGGTTTCATTCTTGGTCTCCACGAGTTCACCCCGCTAACATCCTCAGCAGGCTCATAGTAAAGCAGTGAAGATGAGGGGAGGGAGGGCCGCAACGCGGCGACGACCACGCCAGACTAGATTTGGCCTTGACAACTATGCTGGTGCCCCCAACCTCCAACTCACCGTGCCACGCCGCCTACATCCCAACCTCCACCTCGCTGCCCCTGTCCCCAATCTCCACTGTACCATCCCTGCCCCCAATCTCCATTGGTGGCCTAGCCACCGTGGCCCTCGAGGTGGCAAGATCCACGCAGAGCTTGACCTCGACGAGCGGTAGGACAGGAGGTCCCTCTCCGTCCTCCTTCTCAAGCCATATGTGCATTGCCACGCCTGTGGGGTGAAGATACCGGACGAGCTTCGGTTCATCTCTGTCGCCAAATCCTAGTGTGTCAATGTACGGGCACACGAGTGCACGACATCATGTTATGCGGCATCCTCGACGCTGACACTGGGGTGGAGGAGGTGGGGAGGCCGGCGAGACTCATGTGCGGGAGGTCGGATCATGCAGCATGGCTCAAGGTTTTTGGCCCGTTCGACGCCGCCGCGCTCCCAGCGCTCGCGAGGCTTGACGTCCTAAGCATGCTGCCGCCGAAAGTGAACCATCTCAACAGGTTATTCATGCTTCGACTGACATGCGGGTCCCACACATGTTTTTTTTATTTTTTATATTTCTTCTGATGGTGTGTCAGCACCCTATCAGCTAAACCACCTTCTGTACTGCTTTGGGATTATATTTACACTGGTTTTACAAGTTGAGGGACGCGTTATATTTGGGGCTTGTTCACTTTGATGCCATTTTCAACCTTACCAAATTTTGGTTAAAAAAAGTGGCTACATTTAGTTTGCTACCAAATTTTGGTAATTATATAAGAAGTTGCCAAAATTTGGTAAGGTTTTTTTTTTCATCAAAGTGAACAGGCACTTGGTATTGTGGTTTGAGGATATTATTCGAACTCGACGTCAAACTGAGGGACCTGAAGTGAACTTATTCCAAGAAGGTTACGTTAGTGGGCCGAGCAGGGCTGAATTGTAACCGTAGGCAAGGCCCAGTCGAGATGACACCAAGTAAGGCATGGGCCATTGGGGTGGCGCAGCCCAACTCAGAAATGGGACCAAACCGACCTATCCAACGGAACGGCGGATTAAAACATACTGACAGCGGTAGCATCCACAGGCAGGAAGTCTCCCCACCCACGACGACCACCCCCATCTCCTTCCCCTTTCTAGGGTTTCGCTTCGTCTCCCCCAATGGCGGCGGCCACCACGTCCCGGCGCGGCCCCGGCGCCATGGACGACGAGAACCTCACCTTCGAGACCTCCCCCGGGGTCGAGGTCATCAGCAGCTTCGACCAGATGGGGATCCGCGAGGACCTCCTCCGCGGCATCTACGCCTACGGCTTCGAGAAGCCCTCCGCCATCCAGCAGCGCGCCGTCCTCCCCATCATCAGCGGCCGCGACGTCATCGCCCAGGCCCAGTCCGGAACCGGCAAGACCTCCATGATCTCGCTCTCCGTCTGCCAGATCGTCGACACCGCCGTCCGAGAGTACGCCTCCTCTTACTCTTACTACCCCCATCTTTTTCACTACTAGCTGCCAGACATTTTACTTGTTTGCGCCCTTTTCCGAATGCGCGATTTATTTTACTTCAGATTAGCTGTTAGGTACAGTGCAGTAATTAGGACCTAAATAAATGTCTGGATAGGATTCATTTTTATTCCTTACTGCAACTCTCGACGTTTGTG